CAGAGATGGTCCCTTTTGAAGTTTTCACCAATCCTTTTCTGGACAATTTGTTGATTGTTTTGAAGTTGAGATGGCTTAATTTGTTGTGCCATTCCCAACTCAAATTTGAGTCTGCCTTTGTCACCAGACAGATCCCTTCCTTTGCTGAGCTCCAATCAACAATGTACATGTCCTTCTTCCTTCTACTAGTGAGCACAATTTTGTCATTTTTGACATCTCTAATTAAACAGATGTCTTTGGAGAATGTAACATTATAGCCATTGTCACAGAGCTGGCTTGTGCTTATGAGATTGAACTTTAATCCTTTAACATAAGATATGTTTTGGATTGTAAGTCCATTGATGGATAGGTCTCCAGCTCCTTTGGTCTCTCCTTGTTTTTCCACATTCCCAAAAGTAACTTTGGGTCCTTCTCTTGCCATAAAGTTGGACAGGAGCCGTCTGCTGCCTGTCATGTGCCTGGAGCAGCCTGAATCTATGTACCATGTTTGTGAGTCAACTGCTCCAGCACCTTCCTGTATTCATCATTGTTGAGCAGTAGCCCACAAGTTAGTGGGCAACTTCCTTTGTATAAGTTTGGGCATCCATGCCCATCTAGAACCACTTAGTTCTAAGCAGATTGGTCTATAGCCATTTGAAGTATTATAATCATAGGGGATGGCTATGTATTTGTTAATCCTTTTTCTTCTTGAAGTGGAAAATGGATTATTGGTTTTTGGAGGAGACTGCTTAATGTTTTGTCTGTAGTTGGTCTTACTGGTTGATTGCCAACGGGTTCTTGGGTTTTGATGGTAGGGAAGTTTTTGATTATTCAGGAGATTGGATTTTGATTTGGGAACTGGCAGGTTCCTTCTTATGGGAACATTTTGAGAATGGGATTTTTGGTAGATTAGCTTTCTTGTATTTTGTTGGTGGCTTGTGGAGGGTGAGTTTTGAGTGAGTCTGGTGGGGGATACATATCCGAGCCCTCTTCTCTTCCTATTTAGAACAACTTCAGCAGTAGAGTTACCGGTTTTACTATTCATGCCGAAGTTAGTCATTTTGTTTTTCAGCTCTTTGTTCTCTTCCTCTAAGACATTGTTTTTGGTTAAGGCATCTAACAACTTGGAATGAATGGCCTTAATGTCTTGTTTTAATCTATCATTTTCTGATCTTAAGAGAACATGGTGATCTCGGACTTTCTGAAAATCTTGTAGTAAAGATTCCAATGTGACATTGGTTGGTCCAGAATCACTAGAGCTATAGGAAGAGCAGGATGTTACCTCAACATCATTGTAGTGGTCTTTGGCCATTAGGCAGTTGTTGGAGCAGTTTTCATCATCTTCGCTGAGCCATCTGCTCCTTTCTTCAGCCGGCTGCCAGGATCCCAGGCATAGTAGTGCCTCCTCTGAGTCTCCAGATGAGGAGCTTTCATCACTTGAGCTGCTCTCATCATCACTTTGGGATTCGTCCTTTCTCTTTTCACTTACAAAGGCTTGTCTCTTGCCCTTGAAGTCCCTTTTGCATTCTCCTTTTCGAGCAGTTGCCTGTTGCCCTTGATACTTTTGAGCCAGTGGTAAAGGACACTCATTCTTGTAATGTCCTGGCTGTCTACAGTTATAGCATAGAATAGTGTCCTCACTTGATTGAGGTCTTCCTTGTCTCCTGGGTGGCTGATTGTATGACCTCCTTGGAACAGTACCCTCCTTCTTTATGAATCTTTTAAATTTCCTCACAAACATAGCAAACTGCTCGTCAGTGAGGAGATTATTGAGGGATTTTTCAGCAGATTTTAAAGTGCTTGGCTCAGACACTAGAGCTAGTGTCTTGTATTCATCTTCCTTCTCTTCCTTGATTTCCTTTATTTCAAATTCATAGGCCTTGAGATCACTGAAGAGTTTGTCAGTTGACAAAGTTCTGAGATCTCTACTATCTCTCATAGCAGTTACCTTCATGTCCCATTTTGATGGCAGGCCTCTCAAGATTTTAAGGGAAATTTCTTTTTGAGAAAGTTCTTTCCCAAGGTCAGAGACCTCTGCCACAATCTTCAGGAATCTGGATTCCATCTCATGGATAGATTCAGACGACATCATTTTGAAATCCTCAAATTTTTTTAGGGCAATGGTCAGTTTATTGTCCTTCTCCTGTTCATCCCCTGCTCCAATCTTTGTTAGCTCATCCCAGACATCTTTGGCAGTTTCGCATTTCCTGATTCTGGGAAATATAGATTCATCAACAGATTTGAAGAGAATGTCCTTGGCAATGTTGTCAAGATTGTTTCTCTTCCTGTCCTCAGTTGTCCATTCCATTTTAGGTTTTGGAATGTACACATCATCTGTCCCTTCTATGGTTCTGGATGTGATGACCTTTATTATTTTGATAGGTCCATCAGTAATTACTTCAATCATCTCATCATGTAAGGCACTGAGATGTGCTTTCATCCGTATTTTCCAGTCATCAAATTTGTTCAAGTTGAACAGAAGATTCTTGGCTAACTGACTGTCCATTTTTAGAAAGTGTTTGGGATAAGAGTGGATTTGGATCTTTAGTTCAAAAATAGTCAGAAACTGACTCTAGGAACACACCGCTCTGATACCACTTGATGGTCCCGGATAGAGGTAAAAGTCTAGAGGGGGGGGTGAATAGACTTTTAAATCTTTTTCAACTTTGTCAAGTTTTCCCTCTAGATGAGTTGATCTATAATCTTTTAAGAGATTAATAGATGCACAGCGGAAGTCTTTAACCTCTTTATACTTGGTGTGAGATAACTTTCTAGTTTAGATGATGTTTAGACTGGTGACAAGAGGAAGTAGGCTTGGCAGTAGACTGGTGAGCAGATAACTGCTTAGTCTACTGCTGCACAGGCAGTTTGCTGACTGGCAGGCAACTGCTGAATTGGCAGTTGGCTGGTGGGCAGGTTACTGCTGAGGCAACTGTTAAGAACAGGATGACTCTTGGATGGCTTTTTGTTCTGGCTTGTTATGGCGTTCTGAAAGACACATATAAATGGGCAGTGGGCTCAGCAGGAGGGTGAAGACCAGGGTACTGCTGAGGCACCTTCTGAGTGTAAGATAACTTCTAGTGGAAAACACTCTCAAGGAGAGTGAGTTATTAAGCAGTAGGCTAAGCAGTACAGTCGATAAAGACTACTGCTTAGGATGCTGCTGGCAAACTTCAATCCTTTAGTGAGATGTGTTTGGTGTGTGCTTCTGTATGTATGAAAGTAAATCAACACACGATATATCCTGGTTCAGAGGTGGTGTAATCCTCCTACATCCAGTCCCACCCTATTTCAGATGGATTTCCACTAAAGTATTCAGCCCAATACAATTAGTGCCAATCTAGCCTTGACAACTCTGGCCTAGATTGAAGGTTTTTCACGATGAGTATAACACCACTCAAAGTTACTCAGTCCTTAGACTTTTCTCAATTGATCCAGTGGGGATCAAAAGGTACTCTATCTATCCAACCACACTTTAGGATCCGAACAACTGTTCTCCTAAGTGTTTACAACAATTTGTTTACAAGAAATTTTCTATCCTCCAACTAGAAACTAAGCTCTAAAAGTGTAATCGTGTATGATCTTAGTCTAAGAGCTTAGTGAAGCATGAGTCTAAGCAGAGAGCAAAGTTTAACATGCACTTTCTCTTTTGCTAGATATCTCTTGAATGTTTGAAGTGAATACTCTACTTAGATGACTCAAAAACTTAATTTTATCACTCATGCTTCTGCCTATTTTATAGGCCTTTTGAGCAGATCAATCTCCTCCGTTGGTTGAGAGGAGTTGATCGTAGTCGCTGAAAGAGTTGTACTCTTTGTCTTCATGTGTTGGAGCAAGATAAGGAGATAATTTTTTTGCCGATCAGTTCTTCTTCGAGAGATCACTTCTTGTGTATCATCATCACCTTTTGGGACCCATGTACAATTTCTTGCATTAAATGTTTTTTAGCCTTATGCCTTTGTTATACGGCTTATCCCTGCATGTCACTGTGCACCAAGTAAATTATGTACTGGAGGTAAAAATACTTACCCTGGTGAATTTCCAGCAAAATTTATTTGGAGCATTTGTTCAACACTTCCCACTTTTTATTTGTGTATCAAAATAAAGTTATACTGGTAGGATTTTAATGTCCTTTTTTTTTTAAGGCATCAAAAATTACCTAAATGTATTTTAAGTTTCCAGTATACTTTATTTGATACATTTTATTAGTTATGACTTATTAGGTGGTGGAGGTGTTCATTTATTGGTATAGTGGCATCATCAAAATCTATCAATCGTTGGGTACTAACAGGCTATGTTTGGTAAACAAACCTTGGGCCTACGGGCCGACTACTTGACTTTATATATACAAAGTAAGTATATTTTGAAAAGGGGTAACTTGGGGTACGGCCTAGATTATATTATCACCCTATTTGAGGGTCTTGTGTTTGAAATACTTGTTGTATATCTATTAGATGCCTGTCACACCAGTACTTTATAGCCGTATAGAGTACTGTCCCCTTCGGGGGCGTCCCACCACCATTTCAGGTTGAGGCTAGAACTTGCATCCTGTGCTCGTTGAACGAGTGATTCCTCGGGGAGAAGACTTGGTTCGTGCTTCCTCCATTTTATTTGAAACATTAATAAATTCGCTCATGGATATTTTACTATAGAGCCTGTGTGCTCATGAATAGCCCGGTGTGGCCTTTTTGTTTTAAACAATGTTTTCCGCTGCGTTATGAATTACTTATTATGATTGTCTATGGATAATATATGTGTGAATGATATTCATGACGCCTTGTATAATATGAATGTGTTGGACTGCGGTTGACTATTCGTATTGTACGGCGGATTGTTGACGTGTCCGGGTAGGTCCGGGGCGTGACAAATAATGTGCTCCGCGGTGCTAAATCTAGGACAAAACGGATCCCTATATATTAAAATATATATTTTCTACTCTAAATTTGTTTTTTAATACTACGTACAAAACTTCCATCCTCTAAATCCATGCCCTTAATTGGGAATTTTCTTGCTATTAAAAGGGTTAGCTAACCCGTTGGAGCACTTGGGTGGTAACAAGGATCGAACTCATTAGGAACCGCTAAGAGAAGAAGAAAATTGACGAAGCATTCACGCTGATGATCAGATGATACGGAAATGAAACGGATACGATGGATGGCCGACGGAAATAAACGGAAAGTTAATCCCCTTTAATCATACGGTACACATGGTAAAGCATGTTGTACCACTCTATTAAGCTACATTATTACACCAACATTTTTTTCATTCCCTAAATACCCTAACCCTCATTGGCTATTATAAGTTTTTATATAAGAAATTTAATCTTTTAATGACTTAGTGTACATGTCTTATGTATATCCAGAAATTCATTGATGTATTTCACAAATTTCCTTCAATTCTCTCTTTAGTGTAAGATTGAACTTTAGTGTCCATAATTTAGAAACTTAGAATTTATTTTTGTCTAGTGAATATGTGATTTATAATATGATAAAGTTACTCCTTATACAAGATATAACTTTCACAACTTTCTTTAATTCAAAAATTTTATTGTACCTAATATATAGTTGCAATACTTGTTTCACTCGGCTGTTAGGTACATTGTATCATCAAATGTCACTTATCAATACCCTATATATATATATATATATATATATATATATATATATTCTAACCATGTGCTTTGTTCGTTTTTTGGAACAAGGTTTTGGGAGAAGAAAAGCAAATTCACAATTGGAATTTGGAACAGTAGCCACTCGTAAATTTCTATGCCAATTCAAATCTCCAGGAATTGAGAGAGCTGTTTATAATGAAGAAAAGAGAAAGAAATGGGAGAACAGAAAGGGAAGAAAAGAGAAAGAAGCTGACGGAAAGGAAGGAAAAGGGCGTAGGAGGACATGGGAGAGAAAAGGGGGTAAAATTAGTTGTTAAATGGTAAATGTAAAAATAGTATTTATAGGGGGTGTTTGGAACTAATTCTGCTTCTATTTCTTTTTTAAAAGCAGAAGCTGAATCAGAATTAGTTTTCAGAAGCTGGTACCCCCCAGCTTCTAAAAAAACTGATTCTGAGAGTAAATTAGAGCTCCAGAAGTGCTTTTGCAATTTCACCCAAACACTCCAGCTTCTGCTTCTGCTCCCTGAAGGAGCAGAATCAGTTTTGAGAATCAAATCCAAACACCTCCATAGTGTGTATTAGTGTCTAAGAGGAGTGTGTACCTAATCTCTGAAAAGCACGACTCGAATACAAATGATCGAAGTGAACCTGTGAGATTTTCTGAATTGGTAATCATCTAGTCTCTTAAATTCTTAATCTAATCTCTCAAGGATGAGCTCGATATATTACAAGGAATTTCCCATTTTATTCTCTCAAAAAAATAAAATAATACTCTGTATTCTCTAAATTAATTGGCAGTAGTTGGGTCAAAGTTTTTTTCAAGAATAAGGGAAAACTGTTAAATAGGTCCTCGAACTTTCATAAAAAGGTCAAATAAGTTCTTATTTAAAAGACTCTCTCCGGTTGTCGCGATTTGGGGCGGTTCCCGGTGGGATTTTTTGATGAAAATTTTTGAGCATCTTATTCATCAAGTCTAGTTTACTCATACCAAATTTCAGCTAAAACTTCAATGGGGAACGCATTCAAATTAATTCTTGAAGATAACTGCGCATTAATTCTTGGATTTAACTGCGCATATTTTTTGTAACAATCAGAGTACAAATAAAAAAGTTATAACACTTTATAAAAATAAGTTTTTTTTTATTTGTGGGACCCAAGCTATTTTCTCCCTCTTGTGCGCTGCATTGCTACATACAGAAGTTGGCGGTTCTACACTACTACTAACTAGAGTTCATTGTAGCAGTAGATTGGAAAATATGTTTAACCATACCTCAATTTGGCAAATAATCTTTTATTTAGCATTAAACTAGGAAAAAACTCTCTCGGTCAAGTGGTGTAGTTTGAAAAAAATCCAAGGCGTACCATTTACAAAGACTTTTTTCAGTATAATTCATTTATGTTATTCTGTAAAATTTCAAGGTGTACCATTCCATGATGTAAACGGAATCCAAAATAAAAAATGTATGTGTAACACTCATTTTACTTATATCTGACAATATATTATTCTAGCATCAGTATAAATATAATATGCACCAACTACAAATTAGTAACACAATATTATTCTAAAAATAATAATCTCATACATACTATTGTAACATTTAAAAAGACTTTTGGTGACTTACAACCACTCGGGACAAAAAATGTAGTCAAAAACTGGTTCTTTGTTCTAATAAATTCATGCAATTAAACAAGGGCATGTGCAATTTAATTCTCCCTCCGATTTTGATTCTTGATGGATAGTCTACCGGGGGGTATCCTATCTGAGGGGTTATTGCGGGAATAACTAGAGAGAAGTCAGAGTAAATAGGAGGAGAGAGAGTCGATTTTATTAAATGAACTCAGCGTGGTTTATAAGGTGAATAAGGGCTGCTATTTATAGCAGCAATAAATGCGATGAGAGTACACGTGTCAGCAATCCAACGGCCGAAGGGTCACATCAGCCGGTTGGCACCGGCAGTGGTACGTCCACCGCATTGAATGCGGTTGGTGGATGCGACGTGGCATTAAATGCGGTGGTTGGCTGTCTCTAAAAGGAATCTTCGATGATTGAGCGTTTTGGCCGAAGGCTCCTTGTGAAGCCGAGGGCTCCATGTAACCAAGGACCCCTGTGTAGCCGAAAGCCTTGTGTGACCGAAGGCTTGGTTCAGTCGAAGGCCTCTCCGATGCCGAGGGTTTGATAGTGCCGAAGGCTCATGATTTTCGCCGTTTTCTCCCAGTAGCTTCTTACGCCAAAGAAGGCTGTTCTGTGAGTTTTGGAGCCTTCGGCCGAGGAGACCGAAGGCACCCCAGTGTGTATTCCGGGCTACTTTGAGGCTTGGGCCGTTGTATTTGGGCCTGAGTTGTTTCCTGGGCTCAATAGACTTGTGTAGGAGAAGTAGGAGTCTATGGGCCGGGGGTTCCTGGGCCATATACTCCATCAGGAGTCCCTCACTCCTTTTGCCGAAAGGTACTTGAGGGAAAAGGAGTAGACGTGTTGATTCTTCTGGAGGCTTCATGATTTAGTTGGGCGCCCCTGTTTGAGAACTTGCCTTCTGCTGATTGCCGAAGGCTTCCCTCAGTCCCTCGTATGTCGAGGGTTTTCTGAAGGAAGTATAACACCTGTATGAATGCCGAAGGCTTTCCTCAGTCCCTCACATGTCGAGGGTTTTCTGAGGAAAGTATAGATGTATTGCCCGCATGTGTTGTGATGAGGGCTGCTCCATTTCCACAAGTGATTTGGGGAAAAAATTTTGATACTTGTTTTCTGCCGAAGGGGTTTATTGAAGTATGTACCCGAGGGCTTTTACTTTGATGTTTGCCCGGAGGCTGTATGCGTCACTTGTGAATTTGTTGCATTTGGGAATTTTTGTGTATTTTGTGTGTGATTCCCGAGGGATGTATCCCAGTCCCTCACTTCTTTAGGCCGAAGGCAAGTTCGGGCTGAAGGAGTCATGATGTGTTGATAAGCTCCCGAGGGGTGGCAACATCGATAAGCCTAAGGCTTACGCCGCTACATGCTCGAGGATGCAGTATTGATTAGCCGAAGGCTTACGCTGCGGCGGCTCGAAGGCGCCTGGTGGGATTCGTTGTCTGAAGGCCGCGGAGAGTTATAGCCGGAGGCCACCACTTGAGGGCACCCTAGTGTTAGAAGAATATGGCCGTTGTAATAGAGCCGTTGGAAGAGGGGTTGTCGTGGCGTGTCCTCATTGGTTGAAGGCGGGCGGCTACCACCCATTGGGGGATGAGGCGGCGTGTAATGATGGGCTTTTAACCGGAGGCCCATGCCTCGAGGCTAACCGTGGTTGGGACGCCTATAAATACCCAAGCCCCAAGCCATTTGGATTGTGCGACTTTTGTTAAGCGAAGCTCTGCCCAAATATTTCTAGAGAGAGAAACACTTGCTTTTGATCGAATCCCTTACTTCCGAGGTCAGTTCTTAACCTGTTCTTCCGCTTCTTCATATATTTTGCTTTGTGGCCTTAGATCTTGTGTTTAGAGCTTCCTAGCACCCTTCTCCCGAACCCTTTGACTATCTCCCGATATTATGTCTTCCGGGAGCGACTCACAAGACATATCGAGGGAACCCTCGGCGCACCTAGAGAGTATTTCGGAGGAAGAGTCTTCGAGCGAGCAGTCGTCGGTTGGAGATGACGCAGCCATAGCCGAAATGATTCAGGGTAACCTCCGGACGGAACTAGAGGCGGAGGAATTTGAGCAAGTCGCCGAGGACGAGGAAATGGCCCTTGCCTTACAAGTAGCCGAGGAGGAGGAGGAGAAAGAGAGGCTACGAGTGACCGTCGCTGTGCCACCTCCCTGCAACGACGACGAAGCGGGAAGCTCCCGGCCTCTCAACCCGGAACCTCTGAGGGTTGCTCCGGGTAAGAAGAAGAAGGCGAAGGGTCCCCCAAAGAAGAAGCAGGCTGCCGTGGATGCCGGGCAGCCCGTTGGAATACCCGAGGGGCATTCTTACCTCAACACTGATGCGCTTGAGCTGAAGACGGCGGCGACGAGCTCGGACTATTACTCCACCCAGTTTCTTGTAGGCCCTTCGGCGCAGGTGGTAAAACCCGGACCGGAAGATCTGTTGCCTCATCCACCTGAAGGGTGTTTCTCCGTCCACATTTTGTCCGTGGAACTCGGCCTCCGTTTCCCCCTGCATCCCTTCGTAGTGCAGTACCTTAGGTTCGTAGGCCTTGCTCCCTGCCAATTAACCCCCAACAGTCACTCATACTTGGCGGGGTTCCTCTCACTGAGTGATTCCCGGGGGTGGATCCTTCCCTTGACCAGTTCTTTCTTTCCTTCAATCTTTGCCGCGGGGGGGCTGCCAACAGCGAGGGCTTCGCCAATCTACAACAGCTGCCGGCATGGAGATTGTTTTCTGAGGTGCCTTCGTCCCATAAGGGGTGGAAGGATCGCTTTTGCTACCTCAGGATGCCGGGAAATTCTTTCCCGAGGCCCCTCCGCAATCATTTCCGGAGGCACCTCAAAGTCGGTAATGCTGCCCTTGAGAGTAGTGGCAAGAAATTAACGGCTATGCCGCCGGGTTCGGAGAAGTTGCTGACAATCAAAGCCGCAACGCTTCCGGAGGAGCTGTTCAAACTGGAGTTCCTACGGTATCGTCTGCCAGGGGAGAAGGATGAAAGATACCCTCCCATTGGCCGGGGCTATCAGAGTGCCGGAGGTTGTCACCGGGGGCCTATGACCCTAGCACTTAGTAATTTTCTCTTTTGTTTTCTTGACCTTCATCGTATGACATTTGTGTTCGTTTCTCTTTCAGGTCGAATCATGGATGTCAAAGCTTACGCCGCTCTGAAGAAGAGAGCTGCGAAGGAGCCGAAGAAGAAAGATGGGACCTCCCAGCAGAAGCCGGCGGCCGACTTCTTCAAGAAAAACGAGGCCACCCAGGCGGAGGGAAGTGAGGGGCCTTCCAAGATTGCTGAAGCCGTGGGTACCGAGGATGCCGATGGTGCGAAGAGGAAGCAGCAGGAGGGGGGCCTTGTCCCCCCGGAGAAGAAGTTAAAGAGGGGGGCCGTCGAGAAGAGAGAGACCCCCATCGTGGTCATAGACGAGCAGGCCCCGGTAGTCACTCCCCCGAGTCGTGCTAATGAGGATTTTCGGGAGAAAGAAGTCATCCACTTCCCGATCAAGAAGGGGACCGCGGTGATGCACTCCACCCTGCACCCCATCGAGTTTATGAGGGGGGTGATGTCCCCGAAGGATAGGGCTGTGCTCTCCCGCCTCGAGGACGATGTCCTTGATTACAAGATAGCCAGCTACAGCACCATGGTGAGTTTCTCTCGCGTGCACCGATCCCTTGGTTTTTCTTTCCCTCACTCATCCTTATTCTAATCCCCCTATTTTCTTTACCTGTTTGCAGGCTACCCTCGGCGTTTCTGAGCAAGCTCGAAGAGTGGAGGCGCTGAGGATCGCCAAAGGCCAGGCGGATGAATGCCTGAAGAAATTGGGCGAAGAGCTTGCTGAAGCCAAAAAGATGTTGTCCGAAGCTCGCGAGACACTTCGGCTTGAAAGGGAGGAATCGGCCAAGAAGGTCGAGGATGCTAGGTCCGAGGGGAAACTCGAGGCGGAGAATGCCGCAGTCGAAACTGCGAAGAGAGCCGCTGAGGTTGCCGAAGGCTCGAAGCAGGAGGCGGTCGCCCAAGCAAAAAAGGATGCTGTTGATTGCTTCATTGCCGGAGGGTGGAAGACCGAGGACCGAAGGGACTGGGTGGCTTCTGTCGTGGAGCAGTCGGTGGATGCCTGGACAGCTGGCCCCGG